ACACATGGAAAATGTGGCTTGAAGCGTTCTAAAGCTTGTTACCAAATACAAATCGTAGTCGCTAACGTATCTCTACAGTTATGTGTGTAGGAGATAACCCGATCTCCAGTACATCAAGGGCTTTTACTGCAAATACTTCTTGCTGTCCTGTGTGGTCGTGTTTAGCAATGAAAGTTCTCACCCCGAGTTTCTTCCCTTTTCAGCGTTTGCCCAGGATGACAGCATGGTGCAGCTGCCTGGTGGGAAGTTCCAGATGGGATCCAGCTCTCTGGAGAAGAGGAATGAAGAGGGGCCCGTCAGGAAGGTGACAGTGAAGCCGTTTGCTGTTGACAGATACCCAGTCACAAACAGGGATTTCAGGTAAGGGTGAAGGGTTGCAGAGGCTTGGCTCTGTGTGGGTTACAGGGTCCTGGTAGCCTGGAGGGCGCTGGGTCTTCTGGGGCTGATTCCCAGGTCTGAGAACCAGCCCTGGGATGCTGCCACAAGGACAAAAGAATGTGTTTGTCAGTAGTAAATCATTTCTAGAGGTGAAAGCTGAAGCATCTTACCAGTATAGCTCACGAAAATGCTTCCTTTCCCCCTCTGTTTCTCCTTCTTTTTCTTTGCTTCTTCTTTTCCTTTTCTCCTTCTTCTCATCCCTTTTCTTTTTTCTTTTCCCTTTCTTTTTTCTTTTCCCTTTCTTTTTTCCTTTCCCTTGCAAACACACTTGTGTGTGTGTGTGTTCTTATGTACAGGGCTGTGCTGCTTCAGATTGCAGGTTCCTATAGGTTCCATTTCCATTCTCAAACACCGGATCACTCCATGTATTTTACAGGAGCCCTTGTACAGAGCACTAATAAATGCATTGGGGGAAATGCCTTTATTTGCCTGGCAGAGCCCTTGTTGCTTAAGAAGAGCCAGTGCTTCCACGCACCACTGAGCACTCAGCAACACTCAGTAATGGCTGTTACTGCAACTTAGGCAGTGAGGAAGTAAATGGGGCAGAAGCAGGGTGAGATTATTCAGCAGCATGTGACATATGTTTCTGCATTGTAGGGCTGCTTCATTAACAGCAGCTGTGGGTTTAGTGGCCTTTAAGGGATTTTTGGTCTGTGAAGTCATTATGTTTTATGGAAGAGCAGAGTGCAGGGTGAGTTTACCTGCACAGGCAACAGAAACGCCTGTCACATCTGGGAACAGATGTAATTGGGCTGCTTTATCTGTTCAGTCTGTATCAAACTGGCCTGAGCTGTGCTGGGGAGGAGCCAGGATGCTCTGCAGATGGGGTGTCTGTAGGTTGGGTATGTTTTGCCTTGCTCTGATCTTGCTGCGTGTGCAGGTGGCTGTATTTGGTGGTGTGACTCTTGAAGAGCTCTCTCCCAGCCACCTGAGTGTGTTGTGTTTGTGCCAGGGAGTTTGTTAGAGAAAAGAAGTACAAAACAGAAGCAGAAGCGTTTGGCTGGAGCTTTGTCTTTGAGGATTTCGTACCCGAAGAGCTGAAGAAAAAGATCACCCAAAAACTAGAGGTAAACCTAAACCCCATGGGGATGAATTTCAGTGATGGGCATGGAAGTGGGATTCCTAATCTCTCTGGTTTAAGTGGAATAAAACCACAGGAGGGGACACCCTTGCTAGTATTGCTTTTCCATTGAGTAGCAGCTGCCTCTCAGTGCAGAGCCTGGCCATTCTCAGTGGTTTGTCTTCAGGTTTGGGTTGTTTTGCTTCTGAACCTAACAGCAGGGTTGAGCCTGAGTAGATTTATGGTGCTTCTGTGTTCACATCCTCTCCAAACACTGTCAAATTGGGCTCGTGATTTGCTCCAGTGAGCTGGGAGAAAAGAACGTTTCAAAGTACTTTATTAATCAAACCTTGAAATAGAAACCGTAACCAGCATGGGCTTCTTCATCTGGTTTCCCTTTTGAAAGCAGACACCTCTCTTGGAAAGCACGATCAAAATGCCTGTGATAACCCAGCTCCAACTGCAGCACTGAACCATTTCCAGGCTAAACCAAGTGCTCTTGTTAACATCCACACTGCGGGGTGGTGGTCACCAGCTCAGCTTTCATCCGGTGTCATTTCTTTTCCCAGTCTGCCCCTTGGTGGCTGCCCATTGAGAAGGCGTTTTGGCGACAAGTAAGTGAAGACCTGGGGTGCTGAGTCCTCTCCATGCTGGAAGCATGCATGTATTAGTGTGTGCTGAACCTTGCTGGCCAAAGCCAGGGAAACAGTAGCATCTCTGGGTGCTGCATGTTCCATGCCCTGTTCTGTCCTTTGTTCCCTTTTGAATTGAAAAATGTAGAAAATCAATTAAAATCTGTTTGATGCAATTCTTGCCAGCCCTCAGGTCCTGGCTCCAGCATAAAGGACAGGCTGCATTACCCGGTGCTGCATGTGAGCTGGAATGATGCGCAAGCGTACTGTGCCTGGAAAGGGAAGAGGCTCCTGGCAGAGGAGGAATGGGAATTTGCTGCCAGGGGAGGACTGGAGCGTACGTACCCCAGGCTCTGTTCCCAAACTGAGGCATTGAGCAGTGTTCATTGTGTCAGATCCAAACCTCCATCAGGGGATGCTTCCGGAGGTTAATCTGTGGGGCTGAACCACCTCTTCTGGCCTGGGAGTCAAATTGTTTTACGGAAGAAGTGGCTTATATATGGTCTTAATGTATGTTCCTAAACAAAGGAATGGGGCAAGGAGTGAGCCACCTGCCCCCACACACTGAGGGTGGCATAAAGCAGCCACTGGGATTGCTTCAGGGGATCGCAGGACTCCCTGATGCGAGTGATGGTTTGTGAATGGGAAGCTGTTGCTGATTCCCATCTCTCCTTGGCACTGTCTGGAGGGATGACACTGACAAGCCCCATCCAGAAAACCCTTCTCCATGTCCCAAGCTGAGCAGGAAAGGGTGGACATGAAAGCCTGGTTAAAAACAGGCAGATAGAGATGTTGGCACGGCCCAGGGTAACGCATGGCTCTTCCCCCTTGCAGAAAGGGTGTATCCCTGGGGAAACAAGTTTCAGCCGAACCGTACAAATCTGTGGCAGGTAAGAGCTTTAAAATCATCCCATCTACACTGAGCTCATCTGAGGGGGGTGTTTAACTTGAGCAGACTCTGCGTGGCTGCCTAAAGTGGCTGCATGGTCCTGGGAAGCAACACAGGGTACCAGAATTGAGCTCCGGATGGGGTATCCAAAATACCATTGGAGGTGGCAGGCTCAGCCCAGCTTCCCTGGAAAACCAGGATTCCAGGTTCCAAAAATCCATACATGGATTTGTTTGGAAAGGGGGTTGTCCTGGGAGAAGCTGAGTGAACTCTCTCAGCCAGAAATGCTGTGTGGAGTTAATTTGCAATGGGGAGTTACTTCCATGGTTCAGGTGTAACACAGTCCTGTGAAGAGTGGGGCAATGGTGGTCTTTGGAATGATCTCTCTTCCCACAGGGAGATTTCCCAAGGGTCGACACGGCTGAAGATGGTTATCATGGCGTCTCGCCGGTGACGGCATTCCCTCCTCAGAACAGCTATGGTACGGAACAGGCATCCCTGCTTTGGGGAATGGCACCTGCTTCCTAAATTAACTCTGCTTACAAAATCCTGTAGTTGTGGCAGAGTTTCAGGTCTGATGCGGGACCACATCAGCATCTTGATAGAGTAACCAAGCCCAGCAGAAGCAGTGATGCCACGTCCTCACACAGATGGGACACGTTAAGGGTCCGGATGTAACCTGGGACCAGTTTGAAGTACAGTGAAGAGCTGCTGCTTTCCAGTCTCACCATTAACTCGTGCTCTTGCAGCAATGATGTGCCCACTTCTGTACACCAAAGGGCTTTTGCAGCCCATACAGATGGGCTCTCAGAATTCAAACCCTCCCATGTCTCACTCAGGGCTCTATGACCTGCTGGGGAACACCTGGGAATGGACCGCATCCGAGTACCTGACTCCGGGGCTGGCATCAAGGCAGCGCGCTCAGAACATGCGGGTCCTGAGAGGAGCCTCCTGGATTGACACCGCCGATGGGTCTGCAAACCATAAAGCTCGTGTTACTACCAGGTAGGTCTGGGCAGTGCCCCAGGATGGAAGCGTTCACTAGGAAGGATCCCTGATTTCGGTCTCTTCTTTTTCCCTGGGAGAATGGGGAACACACCAGACTCAGCCTCTGACAACCTCAGCTTCCGATGTGCTGCCGATGTTCCGCCTCTCGTGGCCAAGGAAAGCTGGACCAAACCTGAGCTCTGAGCAGGTCACTCACTCAGGAAGAGCTGAGGGCATTTTCTCCTGTGGAGATGAACAGCAACCCCCAGCAGTCGCTTTTGTTAAACCCCAGTTTAAAACATTAAATACTTCCAGCTAGAACTGCTTTCCGCACCGGGATGCTGGGGCACCGCAGGGATTGGGAATGGCAGGCTGGGTGCTTCGTCTGTAACATCCTTTTGGTGTGGTTGATATTACAGCTCTCCTCTTGGTGTCCGTTCTAAGCGAGCTGAGGGGTGCATGTGTGCAGGACCAAGGTCTGCTCCACCCTGGGCACGGGGCTGTCCTGAGGGGCTGCTGATGGGGTAAACCAATGGGGGCACATCTCTGGAAGGGGGACATCTATGGAATTCCCAGCTCTGTACCATCTGCAGAGCCATCCCAGGAACAGAACAAGGCACCTTTACTGACTGTTGAGCAGTGGCAAAATGATGCCTGTGCTCATTTCTAAGTGCACAGAGCAGTGACCTACCTCTCCTAGGTCTTGCAACCAGCACAAACTCTGCCACCAAACCTGATGGCACCAGGAGCCCTGAGCACATTGGTGGGTGAAGACAGTGCCCAGGGCACTGCTCATCCCTCCTCTACCTACGAGTGTCCCACAGTGGTCACACTTCAGTGCCCATGGCTGCGCCTTCCCCATCAGGAGCTGATTACAGCTCTGTTAGAGCATCTCCTCCAAACCCATCCCTGGGGCACACACCCACCCCCCAGGGGCAAATCACTGCACCTGATTTGAGGCCGGTGCAAAGAGCAAAAGCAAAAGCCATCACCCTTTGGCTTTCAAAGGTTTTATTCCTTGTGAGCAAGCTCGCTGCTCACAGCGTGATCAGAACAGCTCCTCCTCGGCCGCCAGGGTCAGCAGGATGGCCTTGCAGGTGTTCTCGAAGAGGGCAGCTCTGTTCTGCGCCTCCCCCTTCTTCACCCAGTGCCGGTAGGTCCTGAAGGCGCAGGCGTCGATCAGCTTGCGGACGGGCTTCAGGGCGTACGGGTCCCGCACCACCAGCTCCCTGGTGACGGCCTTCACGAGCCGGTACTGGTAGTAGATGCGGACCGATGCCAGGACGGTCAGGCAGATCACCTGCGGCACAGCGGGCACAGGCTGGGGGGTAAGCACAGTCCTACAGCAGGACCAGATCAGTCCCCATACATCCCATGTGGCTGCTGCCTGTGTGGGGGAGTCGGGAGGCAGCCTGGCTCCCGGTGCAGGTTTAGTCCCGTGTGTGTGGAGTGAGCTTTTTCCTTAATGGCAAAACTACAGCTCAGTCCTAAACGTGTCACCTAATGCCCTTCTGGGTGCCTTAGCACTGCCCTATCGACTGGCTGTAAGGAAGGGAAAGGATTCCTCTCTTCTGTCAGCTTTTGCATCATTTGATGCATCTGTGGGATGTCAGCTTCATTGATTCTCCTTTAGAACTCATCTTGTGCACCTGTGGGATGTCAGCTTCATCGATTCCCCCTTAGAACTGATCTTATTTCTTCATATAACCCTATGGTAGCGGGAGCCAGGTTTATTCCTTCTCTTATTCCCTTCTGTGAAAAAGCCCTTAGGAAGTACCACAAAGCAAGCACAATAGTGCTGGGGAGAAGCATCTCCTCCCAGACCGCCGCATCCTGCCAAAGCCCAGGTCCATCAGCCATCCTGACTCCCAGTTTCCTGCAGCTCAGCTGGGAAATCCATCCCACCTCTTGGCTCCAGGTCACCACATCCCCATCCTCACCTTGAACTTGCGGAAGGGGCTGAAGTGCCGGACCTCCTCTGTATCGTACTGCTGGAAGAAGGGGTGTGCGAGCGCCTCTTCGGCCGTGTACCGCTGCCGCGGGTCCACCACCAGGAACCGGGAGATCTGCAGCAGCACAATGGCTCCATCCGGGCTATCCCAGGTGTCCACAACTTCCCCACACCAAGGCTTTCCCATCCCCAAGCTCCTACCAGGTCCTTGACGGTGTCCGAGCGGTCGTCCCACTCCGGGGAGCCGAACTGGTAATCCCCATTCATGATCATCCGCAGCATCAGCATCTGCTTGCGGTGCCAGAAGGGAGGCGAGCCGGCCAGCAAGGTGTACATGATCACCCCGGTGCTCCACCTGCAGGTAACCCACATGGATCCCACAGCCCTGCCTGGCGCCCATGGGGCACCCAGCAGCATAGCTCAGGCTCCCCTCAACGTGGCTTTGCCTCCCTGGGACACCAGGAGGAGCCTGCCCTGCCTGGTGCGTGCTGCTGGGGCTCATCAGCCCTGATGGGTAATGGGGAGCAGGGGCTGCCCCGCTGCTGGGGAGGGATTTGGGGTTTCTGAGCTGAGCTGATGTGGAGCTGCTGCCCCGGATGCTGCAGGAGGAAACTGGAGGTCGAAGGTATTTGTCTTGTGTTTTATAGGGTAGGGAGAGGGTGCAGGAGGGTGGGATGTGATGGGACACAATGGCACAGCAAGGCTGGAAGCTCTGGCGCTGTCTCAGCTCAGGCTGTGGTGTGTTAAGTGTCCTGTTTAAGCTGAAAAGGGGCTGTAATGCTCCAGTGTGTTTTGAGTGCATGGTTACACCTCTGACCCCTGCACACCTGAGCCTGAAGCCACCAGAGATGGTGGCAAAGTCCTTGCAGGGCCCTGAGCTGGCTGCTCTCTCCGGTCTTACTATGGGGGATATTTAAAAGGCCCCTGTGTCTTGGAGCCGAGCCTGAGCTGATTGTTATGAACACAAAGTGTTGCTTTCAACCCTACCTGAGAGGGTAAAGCAGGGGGACAGGCTTGACCCCAGCCTGCTTCTCCCCCAGCCCTGTAACAGAGCCCCCTAGTCACCAGCACAGCCCCTCGCAACCCCTGAGGTTGCCTTTTGATGCCTCATTTAACTCTTTCTGACGCTCAAATGGGAGTCCATGTGCCCACTGTCACTCTGCTCTGGGGACTGGGGTCTCACTCACATATCCACCTCCTTCCCGTAGCCTTGGTGCTCGTCGTCCATGGAGCACTGCAGGATCTCAGGGGCCAGGTAGCCAGGAGTGCCACAGATCTCTGTCAGGACAGGACACAGCATCCACATGAGCCACCCCGGAGGGATTGTGCCATTCCCACCCAGGATGGGTGCTCAGGGGGCTGGATCCCAGCTGGGATCAGTGATGGGGCTCGTGTGAATCTCACTGGTGACCCTTCTTGGTGTGCTACAATGGCTTAAAGCAAGTGAAGAGAGCAATGGGGAAGGCAGTGGAGGGGATGCCCATTGTTGGATAGCTGGCTCTATGCAGGGTGGGAGCTGGGGGGAAAAAGCCTTGCTGTTGGGCAGTAAATGGATGGTGTGATGAGGATTGACTGGGTTTGTACCTCCTCGTGGCAAGGAGTGTGGCGTGGGGGCCGTGTGCGGGCAGAGCCAGGCTCGTGTGTGAGCAGGAGCGCGCCCTAAGCCGAGAGGCACCAATCTGCACCCATGGCAGCGAGACTGGCTCCAAGGGGAGAGTGGGGCTGGAGAGACCACACTGACTTAGGGGTGGCCTTGGCAGTGCTGGGGGAAAGGCTGGACTTGATGATCTTAAAGGTCTTTTCCAGTCTGGTTGATTCTATGACTTGTGGTGGCCATGGGCATCATCCCTACCTCCCCGTCCTCCTACCTTTGAGCTTCTCATTCTCCTGCAGCTGGCAGGAGAAGCCGAAGTCCGTCAGCTTGATGTTCATGTCGTCATCCAGGAGGATGTTCTCCGGCTTCAGGTCCCGGTGGACGATGTTGATGGAGTGCAGGTACTGGATCACCTCCAGCAGCGCGTGCATGATCTTCCTGGGGATGGGTGACAGCAGCTCTCCCAGCTCGAATGCCCACGAGCACCGTGCTCCCGGGGGTGGGAACAGGGAGCGCTCAGCCCCGGGGCTGGTTTTGCCCATGGGTGCTTTGAACGCACCCTCTGCTTCTGCAAAGGGGTTTTCAGCATCTGGCCCTACCTCGTCTCCTTCTCGCTCAAGGTGACTTTCTCAGTGAGGTAGTCAAAGAGCTCCCCTCTCCTCATCCTGCGGGAGGGAGGGAGGGAGGGAAAAGGGAGGCAGTGGCTGAGCTGTGATGGAAAACTGGCCCCTGGGGAGGGTCAGTGCCCCTTAGCAACCCATGGCACAACAGGACAAGCTGGCTCCTTAATAAGAAGGGTGCAAAAATGCCTTTATATGCTGCGAAACATCAGGTAGCAGGGGAAAGGCTGTCCCTGGAGAGGGCAGGTTTGGGATGGGGCTCTCCCAGTGCCATCATCCTCCACTGATGTCCCTCCCGCTGCCCTGGCATCAGGGGTTGTGGTGTCACATACACCCTAGTGCCACTGAGCATATAAATAACCCGCGAGGATGCACAGCAGCTCCCACCAAAGGTTACAGGGAAACCTGAGCAGCGCTGACAGAAGGGAAACACTGCTGGGAGCAATCGAGGCTTGTTTCTACCCTAAGCAAGAGCTAGTTGTCCCTCCACTGAGCACTGTTTGGGCCATAAGAAGCTGGGTCCAGTGCTGGCTGTCTGCAGAGTGGGAATGGACTTGGGGTGATGGCGAGCTGGTACTTACAGATCAAACACCAAGAAGAAGAAGGTGCTGGATTCGTAGCTGTCCTTCAGCTGGACTGCAATAAAGCACAGGGAGGATGAGCACAGTGTAGAGCATCTTCCTGCCCATTAAGGGACTAAAACCTGGTGATCTAATTGCTAATTCAATTAATGAGGAGTTGATTTGGTGGGGAGACAACCTGGGCACTGCTGGTCTGTGTGCAGGGGCAGAGCAGACGCTGCTCGGACCAGGTGCCCCGCATCACTTTAGGACCATCGGAGGTCTGACCCTCAAGGATTTCATCCCAAAACCCCTTCCTGGGCTAAATGGGGCAGACTCCCCCCCTTGCCCTGATACTCGGAGCCAGACTTACTGACATTGGGGTGGCCCGAGACCTTCCGGAGGATGTCGATCTCTTTGGTGGTGGCCTCTCGCAGCTCCTGCACCTCCTTGGGGGAGATGTTCCCCGCGGTGATGTCGATGATCTTCACAGCGTACTCCTGCCGCGTGGTCTTGTGGATGCACCGACGGACCACGCTGCTCACCCCCCTGCCAGGGACAGCACCAATGGGGGCTCCCATTGCCCCCCCTGCCAGCCCATTGCCACCGGGGCTGGTCGGTGTTTTCAAGCCCAAGAGGTTTCCCTCCCTTGGGATGGAAGATTTCGAGCTGATGGAAAATGCTGCTTCGTGCTATTTTTAACCCCCTGCTGCCACGGGCCCTGTTCCTATCGGATTCCCAGGGAACACTGTACTGGGGCACACAGGAAAACAAACCCAAGCTTTACCTGCCCAAAACCTCCTTTGGCTCATATTTTTCATAGAACTCCTTGGATGAGTTCCAGTCGGGCAGATCTTCTTCCTTGGTCATCTCTGGCTCCTGTCCGGTGGCACTCTGGGCTTTGCTGGTGGAAAGGAGCTGCAAGGAGAAAAGAGCAAGGATGGGCACTCGCTGCATTGAGGCAGAGCCCCTTGATCCCCTCTGGAGGAGAAAAGATTGAGGAGGAAGATCCCGGACCAGAAACCAAAGGAAGATCTCACTGGGGATAGAAGCAGCCTGGCTGGGACCAAGGCTTCGGGAAGCGCTGCAGCACCTCAAAACCCCATCCCTTCCTGTGGAGCATCCGCACCCAGCTCACGGGGCATCATCATCCTCCGGCTCCTACCGTGTGCCAAGGGCTTTGCCACGCTCCTCCTGGTTCCTCCAACCCGGCAAAAGGACTGAGGAGGGAAATGGGTGCGAGGGGCGGTGAAGCAGCGTGAGGAGCTGGGGGGGGGTGAGGTGCTGCTGGGGGCAGGGTGCCTGGGGACAGCCGGTGCTGCGGGGTCAGCTGGGGCTGAGGGCAGGGCTGGGTGAGGAGACAAGCCAGAATCAGTGAGCTCCCTCGCATGCTCAGCTGCCAGCAGCCAACAGAGCTCCCGACGGGCTCCTGTGCCATTCCTTCTTCCCGGAGGAGGAATGCCGTGACAGTGCTTTGGCAGAGGAGGGGGAATAACCAGTCCTCCCGATCCCTGGTGTTCACTGCCGTTCCCCTTTAAACCCTGGGAACAGCATTGCTGAAATCCCAATTGTCCAGGTCCAGCTGCTCCGCAAGCACACGGAGACCAAGCAGTGCGCGTGGGAAGCAGCAAAACTGCCCCCTTGGGGTGACAGCAGGAGGGCAAAGAGCCCCAGTAGCGCAGGTTTCCCTTTGCCTTCATCTCCGAGGGGGCAGCCAGGCAGGTTCGCACCTCTGACTTCAAATCTTCTTATCAGTGCCCTGACCCGGTTAAGGACCGAAGCTATGGACGATGCCTAACGCGGGCTGGAGCGTTTCTGAGCAGCCCAGGGTTTGCTCTAATAACGTTTTAGGTGCTGGTAGCAACGCCAGAGCAATCGGGGCTAAAACCAACAGGGTTTAGGCAGGAGCCGGGAGAAGAAAAGATCTCCGAGGTGGGGGGAAAACATCAGCTTCGATTGGGTTTGAAGCTGAAAACTCCAAGTCCTGGAGTTGGTGTTTGGGGAAGGGCTGGAGGCTGGGGAGCACCTGCGGGTGCTGCTGGATGGGAGGAGAGAGCCAGGAGCTTGTTTATAATACCCTGATATTCTATATATCCCGATATATATACCCTGATAGAAGAGCAGCTGCTCCGGGCGCTACCAGGATAAGCCGGTTCTATTATCAGAGCTTTCGAGCTCCATGGGAGTGGAAAGGGGGAATAAAGGAGGTTGGGGGGGGCACAGAGAGGTTTCTCTCTTAAGGCGGCGATGGAGGAACGCAAATGGAGGCGGCGCTGGCCATGCCCGCCCCGCTGCTGTGGATTCGCGTCTTTGCCTCGGTGAATCCTCAATAACACACAAATACCCATTGGGATCCCGCCGGAGAGCTCGGGCTAAGGCAGGGCTTAGGCCGGAACGGGAGTGCCTCCCCCCCCCACCCCGACCCCTTCATTTCCCCCTCCAGATCCCCCCCAGCACCGGGCCCCGGAACCGGCCGGAGCTGAGCAAACACGGGCAGAAAGCGCTCAAGGTAACGCCGGGATCCACGTCCCCGGGCCCCCGCCCCACCGCCGCTGCGCTCACCTCGCCGCGGGCAGCCCGGGTCCGCCGCCGCCGCGGAGCGCCCCGTTCCCGGCCCCGTTCCGCGGGCGGGCGAAGGGCAGCGGCCGGGGCGGGCCGAGGAGCGGCCGCCGAGCCAAAAATACAGCGGGGGGGGGGGGGGGGGACACGGGACCGGGCCGGGCACCAGCGGCGGCGCCGCGGATGGGGCTCCCCCCCCGCCGGCCCGGGGCTAAACCCCGCGTTGAGCCGGCCCCGGGCCGCTCCTCGGCGGTGCAAGGGAAGCCTCGGCTCGCCCGGCACCTGCGTGTCCGGGTGCCTCCTCCCCGCTGTCCGCCGCGGGCGCTCCTGCTCTTCGCTTTCCCCTTCCCTTCTTTTCCTCAGCGCGGTGAGCACCGAGCAGCCGGGGTGGGAGCTTGAGCAGCAGGAGGCAAGCGGCTCCTGCCGCAGGGAAAGGTGGGTTTGTCCTTATCCCCCTTCCCAACACTGATGTTATTCTTTCACTTCCAGAACGGCAGATCCGAGATGGAGGAAGGTTTTCAGGAGCAGCTCGGGAAGACCAGGCCACGCCGTTTTAAGTATTTTTAGCAGGAATCTCAAGGTCATTCCCACCGCACTCCCCAGCGAGGGTCCCTCCTCCGTGCACCTTCCAGCCCAGCTGAGGCACAGGAGTGTTTACTCCATAGGTTGCAGGGGCTCAGCAGGGCATGAGCTGGCTGCTCCCTCCGACGGGAAAAGGAGGGCTCGCACCCTGCATCGGTAAATACCCTTTATGTGGAGATGGTTTGTTCTCTTCCTGCAGCAGCTTTGTTGCCTACACGAGGAGCAAAGAGAAGGCTGGAGCACCCCATCGTGTTTCAGGCTCCTGTCACAACATGGAGGAAGAGAAAACCTCAGCTGGTATCATCAGGAACTGCAGCTCTTGGAGCATACAGCTGCATGGCAGCCTATGGGCTACCTAGGTAATCCTACCAGGGATCTTGGCCAAGGGGAGGGATTTGTCAGAACCTCTTGAATGGAGGAGCAACAGGAGGCTACTGGGGAGTCAAGGCCCACCACATGAGGAACAACATACGTGGGGCCAGACGTCACCTCCCTGTCACTACACATTTTAAGCAGTAGAAGCTGCCTGCAGGGTTCAAGTGTTCACAGCAGAACAAAGAGCAGTTTATTTACACACGGTGTCACATTCAACACAACAATCAGCAAACCAGTAACACAAATCAGCTCATTCCACTTTATTCATTCTTCCATTTTGTGCTAAATCAATTTGCAGCTGTAAGTCGTAGCACATCTGTAGCGGCTATGGCAGGAATCAAGCCACAAGGAGGACAAGAGTGTGAATACATGAACTAGTAAAGTATGAACTTTAGGCTTTATTACTGAAGCTTTTTCTTCATTCACAGATCAGTTCTTGCAAGATGACATTCAGCAGCCTTGTTCTGAAGGCTTAGGCTAAACCTGAAAGGTAAGGAGTTGGCAAAGTTAACAGTAGTAAGGTTTGGATCCCTGAGAGATCTGTTGGCGTGTTCCTTCTCCCTCATGCTAAGCTGGCCACACACCAGCAGTGCCAATTCTCCCCCAAGTGTGCTGCCACCGCTCTCTCACACTGTCAACTTCAGTCCATGCATAAAAGCTTTGGGAATTCATCTTCCCCACACCACCCCACCTCCAACTATATGGATGGGACCAAAAAGGGACAGCAGCTTGCTGTAACAGACTCCACTGTACATGTACTCTAAGTATTCCCACTGTTTACTGCATGGACTGAAAAAAAACAGGACATTATTCCCACATTCATTTTACTGATCAACTCCTTCAGTAGTTGCCTGGAGCACTGCTCACTTACCATTAGCAAACCTGCATTGCTTCAGCACCTCACTGAAGCCCTCGCACAGCTTGAGGTCAGTCTGGTTCTGGGCACACTCCAGGAATTGCTTCATTTCATACTGGCAAGGAGCAAACTGCTGCTGCTGCTGGTAGGCAGGCTGGGCTGCCTGTGGCTCCTGAAACAGCAGAGACCCCCATAAGCACCCTGGTGCTGCTGGGTGTTTCTTCCCTGCATTTCAGTCAAAATGCTGTGTTGTCTTTTAAATGGAAAACAGACAATGGGCTGAAGGACAAAACAGGCTTCCAGCAGTGGCTTGGCACATTCTGAACAGTTTCCTACATTACAGACACTTGGGTAACATCATTATCTTAATGACTGAGCAGCACAAGACGATCTCACATTAGATCTTGCCATCGTAAGATCTGGTACATTAAAGTCCTGCCTGAATCAGAATACTACAGCAGAAAACAACTGTTAACACCCTGCCACAAGCATGTTATCACCCCTGCATCCCTTGGAGCTAGTTTTAGGAGATGGTGATTGTAGTAACCACCTTGGAGAGTTGAGTCTCCATGGAAAGATATGACTTGTGTAGGCTTTATGTCTACAGCAGTTCCCTGAGCCTATATGTAACTGCTTTGCCAAGTTACCTGCACTTCATTAGTGGGTGTCCCGTTGTGCTTTCTCTTACCTGATAAGTAATATCAGGCCTCGCAGCTTCAGAGCTGCTTCCTCCACCAAATCCTCCTGTCAGCGCATGGCCTATGGTATGGCCCACAGCAGAGCCCACGGCCACTCCAGCAGCAGTTGTAGCCATCTGTGCCATCAGACCAGGCTGCTTCGGCGCGGGAGCAGCCACAGCAGAAGCCGGAGCCGCTGCTGGGACAGGCGCCTGTGCCGGAGCTGGAGCTCTCATCTGTGGCGCTCGACTGCAAGGACATGAAGAGAAAGCTCAGCTCATGGCTCCAAACACACCGGGCAGAGGCACAAGCTCCTCCTCATCACACCCTGCACACTGACGGCAAGAACTCAGTGTCCTGGCGAGTGATTTATGCACATCAAGGTCAGGCTTTCGAGCTCCTTTTTGCGTGTTTTAAAGGCCACCAGCACCCCGCCACCCAGAGCGCTGCGCTATTCTGCGGTTAACGAGATACAACCCGAAAGGAGCCGATTAAATCGGGCCTTAACGCCCAGGAGCTCCACATCCACCCCCGTGCCCCGCTAACCGAGCCCAGAGCGCCCGGGCCCCGCTCCCCGCCCAACCCCGCAATGGCGGAGAGGCCTTCGCCGCCCGCGGCCTACACCGGGGGGCGGCTGAGGAGGAGGAAACGGGCCCAGCGGGCCTCACCTGGCGGGGGGCGCCACGCGGGACGTGCGGCTGCGGCCGCCCCTCGGCATCGCGGCGGTGCGGGGAGGGCTGAGGCGAGGAACGGAGCGCGGAGGAGAGGAGAGGAGCGGGACCGGACCGCGTCCAACTGCCGCTGAAGGTCACCCGGCACTGCCCGTGCGTGCTTACGTCACGCCGCAACGCCGCGCGGAGAGGTGGGGCTTGCGCAGGCCACGGAGGGTGAAGGGAGCGGTGGCGGGGCTTTGCGTTGTGGAGCAGTGGCGGTGAACCGTTAAACGGTGTCAGAACGGTTTCTGAAGGGTTAAACGTCTGAACGGTTTCAGAAGGGTTAAACGGTGTCTGAACGGTTTCTGGACCGTTAAACGGTGTCTGAACGGTTTCTGAAGGGTTAAACGTCTGAACGGTTTCTGAAGGGTTAAACGGCGTCTCAACGGTTTCAGAAGGGTTAAACGGTGTCTGAACGGTTTCTGGACCGTTAAACGGTGTCTGAACGGTTTCTGAAGGGTTAAACGGCGTCTGAACGGTTTCTGGACCGTTAAACGGCGTCTGAACGGTTTCTGAAGGGTTAAACGGCGTCTGAACGGTTTCTGAAGGGTTAAACGGCGTCTGAACGGTTTCTGGACCGTTAAATGGTGTCTAAACAGTTTCTAAACGGTTAAATGGCGTCTGAACGGTTAAACGGTGTCTGAACGGTTTCTGAAGGGTTAAACGGCGTCTGAACGGTTTCTGGACCGTTAAACGGTGTCAGAACGGTTTCTGAAGGGTTAAACGGTGTCTGAACGGTTTCTGGGGTTGAACGGTGTCTGAACGGTTTCTGAAGGGTTAAACAGTGTCTGAACGGTTTCTGGACCATTAAACAGTGTGTGGTGTCAGAACGGTTTCTGTAAGGGTTAAACGGCTGCTAACACTGAGGTAAACACGGCACTCCCTTAAATGGAGTCAATGGAACGCTGCTTAGATGGAGTTCTCTAGACCAAACACGATGGGGTTTGGAACGGTTTCTAAAAGGGTTAAACAGTGCCCTATAACTTGCAATACGGTTTCAGAGTTCACTGCCTCAATCCAGAGGTAAAATTGATCTGAATAGCTGCTTATTCAGTTAATATAGCACACAAGTGTGTGCCATTGAAAAGATATATGGAGGATCACCAATAGATTGGAACTGGGTGATCTTACAGTCCTTTCCAACCCAAAGCTTTCTGTGATTCTAAGACATTGAACAAGTCTGTTTCCCGTTATAAGCAAGCGTTTTGCTTCTTGTCCTGGGAGCACATATAGACACGTTCATCCACAAAATGACACTATAATGTTGTCACTCGGTTATAAAGCCGTTACCGTGATAAAACATCTCTTGTTCATCATCTCTTCAGCTGTAAGGGTGTTGTGCAAGACCAGCCGTTTCAACCTCATTCAACAGGCAGTAGTTACATCCCCTTACACGAATGAAGCATTAATACTGTGAGTTTATGTAGCAATGGCAATTTGGAAGCATGGAAAAGCAGTTGCTGTTAATGCCAAAATTATTAGGAGATAAATATAAATGATCAATCATGCTCAGAACAGTGCTATCCACCAGTTCCAGCTGCTGGTGCCAACGCAGGAGCTCATCTCTGCATGCATCCCCTCTCTGGTTCTGTCACTCTTGGCCTCTCTCCATCCTGGCTGCTCCCTGGGCAGCTCTGCCTCTGGGCGTTGGTCAGATGCCCTGAGGCTCTGTGAGCTTTGCGCTCCAGTCATTAATTCACTTCAGACCTGGCACTTCCAGACATCCCATGGTGTCCGGTTGGTGTCCAGAGAGGGAAATGCGGCAGTGTTCAGGGCCAGGTTGGACAGAGCCTTGGGCTGACATGGTCTATTGCGAGGCATCCCTGCCAATGGCAGGGGGATTGGAGATCGATGATCTTAAGGTCCTTTCCAACTCCAACTCTTCTATGATTTTATGCCCAGACCTCATCTTATTTAAGGCCCAAGCCACAAACATCTGAGATTGGGTGATTGATTTCCCTGCTGCTTTAGCGCATCTCTTGGTTGCCCCCTTCTATCTCGGTCGTCTGCTCCTTCCTGTTGTCCCCCTCCTTGGCTCGCACAGGTAGCAGCACACAGTGTAGCGAGCAGGTTTTTACTGTAGTTTATACATCAGCTAGAGTTCAAACAACTCATTTCTTAATGAGTGGTTTTCTCAGCTCCTTTTTATTAATATTAATATTTATAATTATTAACTCCTTTTTAATGAATAGTTTTCATTTTCCCTTTGCTGGCAGAGGGATTCTTGTGGCTTGAAGTGATTTTGCAACTGTCTCTCTCTGAATGGGTTTTGTTTGGGAGAACAATGCATGCAGGGATGGCGTGACGGGCAGTGTGAATGCTGCCATTGTGTTTCCTCCTCTTGCCTTCCTTGGGAAAAGGAGCAGAGCTTCTGTCTGAACTTGCTCTGGGATCTGCTGATGCCCAGCAATACAATGGAAACAGGGAAGGGATGGAGAGCAAGGAGCCACCCCGAAGTAAAACCATAACAGTGGTGATGGGGGGTCAGAGCAAGCAAAGATCCGTTGTTTCCATCCACTTTTGTGTTGGTAGACCAGAGACACTCGTTGGTTCTTAAACTACAGGCAGACGGGTGTTGGTGCTAGTGCTGATAGAGAGGTATAAAGGAAAGAAGATCCAGCCTGATTGCTGTTGGTTGTATCCATCTAATTCCAAGCAGCACTATTGGGTCTGCTGGCTGCATTTAGAGGTGGGATACCTGGATGATCCTAGGTCTGTGAAACAGATGATGAAATCTTTTTGCTCAACGATGGAGCATATTCTTCCCAAGACAAGGCTTGGGAGGATGCATTGACAGCTGCTCCAGAGCCAGGCAGAGCGCGAGGCTGTGGTGTGCGCTGACAAAACCAAACTTCGTGTGCTTTGGATGCTTCTTGCCCAAATTCCATGTCCCAGGAAGCGTCCTGGTAAACTCTGGGACCACAACAGGCCCTCAGCAAGGTCCCTCTGCACCGGGGGGCACCAGATGGGCATTGTCTGTCTGCAGGCTGTGAGGTTTGGCTTATGCGAGTGTCGGTGCCGCGCTGGGAGCGGGTGGCCCGCTCCGCCGTGTGCGCGGCCGGCATCCTGCTCTCCCTGTACGCCTGCCACCTGGAGCGGGAGAAGGGCCACGACATCCACTACCAGGCGCTGTGCGACTTCAGCGAGCGGGTCCGCTGCTCCGCCGCCATCACCTCCAGGTGAGGCGGGCATGGGACCCGTGGCCGCCTCATGCTGCCCCGCGGGGAAAGGGCTGGGAGCGGCGGGAGCGCTGCCTCCGGAACCCTGCGGGCTATGGCGGGGGGGGGGCTGGGAGGCCGGGTCGGCTCTGTGAGGGGGGGCTGGAGCGGGCGGCAGGAGCCGGCGGCTGCGGGCCGGGACCCGTCATTGGAAGCGTTTCCCTGAGGCGTTGAGGGGCGGGCGGGCGGCTGGGCCTGTGCTGGGGACCGCAGGGCGGGCAGGCCGAGGAGGAGGGTGTCGGGGCTGCGGGTTCAGGCAGCGCCTTCGCTGGAGGGCTGGTGTGGGAGCGGCGTTTTGTCGGGATCCCCGCGGGCCGGAGGGCGAGGCGCCCGCAATTCGCGTGTTGTAATGACCGGTGATTAGCCGGAGCGACGGGCGGTTTGGTGGTGAGCCTGTGCGCCAGTGAAGTGCTGCAGGTGTGGCTGGCGGGTAAGGCCCACGTAAACGCGGGCGGCTGTCGATGGTTGGGTTTGTGTTGCTTTAATTGAAGTACCTGAATGCGGGTTTGATGGGAGTGTCACCGGGCAGCACTGAAGATTCTCTGTGTGATGCCGAGGAAGCGTTAACTGGTAGAGCTGCAAAAGGCCAGTCCAAACCCTGGTTTATTTGACAGGCTTCCTGTCAATAATTACTTCAGCACTTGCTTTCTAAAGGCCAGTGGCTCTTATTTCTGTTAGGAGAGTCAATGTATAAGTTCTGATATGCTGGTGGCTTGGCCTGTTGTCAGGTCACTAGTTGGGTGAGTTGCAGTAATGAAAAGACTTAACCTGCTGTATAGCTACAAGTGCTACCAGGGTGAATGTGGTACAGGAAATACGTTCAGATGTAATTTGGCCAAGAAATAGCGTATCCTAACAGCATATTCTCAAGTATTTCAACTAAAGAAGATGAGTTGTTCAGCAATATCAGAGCTGCTCTGTGCATATATATGTGTGTATATATATATATAGGCATATAAAGACATACACAAAGGCATCTACAGGTAGGGAGCTGGGAAGGGGAGGGGTTTGGTTCTTAAATGCTTCATTTTTTTAATTAGAATTTAGTTATTATCATATTTGATGCTTTCAGCTGAATGAGTGCTTCAGATGCTTCCCCCTTGTGTTGTGTCCCCCCCCCTCAGTGTAACCTGCATCAAATCTTTCACTGCTTTTATAGAGGTACTTGCTGTATCATCATAACAAGGCAGTGAGGGGGGACATGCCCCTTGTCCATCAAGGTGGGGGCCAGTTAAATTGTTTAGGTAAAACATACAGGGAACTCTTATTAAAACCATTTCTGTGGTGGCAGAAGTGGGGTTGTGTTACGCTACAAAGAGATGTGTGTGTCTGAATGCCTGAAAGGAGGCTCTTGTGATTGAATAAGGGCCTTAACTCTGCTTTGTATCTGCCGTCAGGTAATCAGTTTGTGAAGGTGCTTGTTCATGGCTCTATATGAGAAGTGTCCTGAAATGAGAAGTTTCAATCTAAACAGGAAGAAGACTTCAGTTAGCTTGCCAGATAACTTAAAATTGAGCATAGATTACTGAGATTAAACCAAGTGAGTACCATCAGTAAGTTGTAAATGAGTAAATTTTACCATAGCTATCAAGGTAAAAAGAGAGTAACAGGGATTTAAGCACCTAAGTAGTCTCTATAGTTGCCTGTTCTTGTGTAGAGTTGTTTCTTCATTAGCTTTGTATTGTTATTGTAATGCTACTATTGAGATAGGGAATTTGAAGTAATAGTTTTAATGGCTGTTTACTGAATGCTTTGAAGAAGTGAAACAATTCCAATTGTATCTTTAGATTTTTAATTATGGAATGCTGCTTGGTAATTATAGTGTTCATTAGTGACACTGCAGCTGAGATGTTGAGTATGCCATGGTAAGACCTGTAAAATCTTTACTGTAGGAATTCTGTGTAGTAATACGAACAGTGAGGGATAAAATCAGCTAAAACCTCGCTAGCCGTTGCTAGGAGAGTCATGCTTAAAGACTGAAGTACTGCAGCTTGTGATAACTAGAGCAAGTGGGAAAAGGACTGTGTGGAAAAGGAGCGTGCGAGTTCTGTTCAGTCAAACCTTATTTGGAGAGGAAGAACGTGCTCTCAGTGCTCTACAGGGCAGACAGAAAAGGATTATTGCTGTAAAAGTAAGTCAAAGGGGCAAGCTATGAAACTTTGAAGCAAGAATAACACTGAAAGAAATGAATCTTATTTTCCACGTTGCCACAGCTCCCCATCCATCAGCCATTCTGTCTCCAGCAGAGTATTCCTGGTTACCACGTCACTGGAGTTTCTCTGAAACTCAGTTACTGAAAGGAACTTGTAACTGCAGTGTAGTAGAGTTGCAAATACTGTGTTCCAGCATTTTCACATGTAATGCAGATTTAACTTTCATCTGTTTCTTTTCTCATTAAACTATTACACTGGCAGTCAGAAATCAGTTGGTTTTTGATTGGCAGGGTTAACTACAGACTTAAATGGGTGACAAACTTGTACTTTGTGGCTTTTACCAGGCTTCTAGAGCGTTCTTCTGGTTGTGGGACTTTTTAAGCTAGACTTGGTGATGGAACTTGTAATATAACAGTGTTCACATTTTGCGTGTTGACTCCAACAGCGGAACTTTAAAAAGCACCTCATGGTGTTGGAACTAATTTTAACTGTATAGAATAATTAGGATAAATTAGTGTACTCCTGCCTGGGCTGAGTTACTTTGGAATCAAGTTCTGGCCTTTAGGGAGGGCTTTTTTTTTTCCACTAATAAACTGTTAACATTTCCAAGTCTTGCTTTTAAGCCAAATCTGGTATTGGCACAACAACAAGAACAGAAATGTTGTAAAGATTACCAGCATGCAAAGGGAGGAGCGCAGAAAAATCTTGTAGGAGAGTCTGACTCATGCAGAAGATTGTGTTGGAGAGATACCTCCCTAGTATTCCTTATTCAAAATACTCAGGGTCAGCATATTTCAAGCTGTTATCATGGAGAAAGTTCATGAAATGGTTTAAAACCAGCTAAGGGCTGTATGTAAGGGAAGGTATGAGGGAAACACGTAGTATCTTCATTTGGCAGTTTTGTAGCTCTTTTAAGTGAGTTGCTGTCTCATAATTGAGAATGATGAAGTGGCAAGCATGGCTTTATTTGTAATGAAACTGGCTAACAGCAGTTCATGACAGATAAATACCCTTGCTCTTGTTGTTAACAATAGTTTCACAGAGGGAATTAAGCTAATAGACAAGTTTCAAGTAATATGGATAGCGGTATGGCTTGAAAGAAAACGTGACATTGAAGTAGTAATGGAGAGACCCAGAGCTAGGGAGACTTTTAGGCCTTCTGCTATGTTTCTGCTTTCTGTCCTGATTAATTTCAGGTTCCTGCAGAGCAGTTTAGTGAATGGCTCTGTTTGAAGCAAGTTTTGTAGCGTGGCATGTGTTAATGCTGTAACAACTTCAGTGCAGACTGAAGACAGATGGCATGAATGAGCAAAGGGCACTTCATCTCTTCCCTTACACAGCTCCCAATATTGCCGAAGAGGTTTGGAAACGGTCAGTATTGCTCTAGGTTAGCATCTTTAGCTGACTTACTGAAGAAGTTCTAGAGTCTGTTAAGGTTCTGTGTTCATCTGCGTATAATGTGGTAGATGATGTATTTTAGGGGTTCCTTCTTCTGAACTTTATGCTAATGTGCAGGGTCTTAGATTGCCATCGTGCACTTGAGCCACTCTGAAACGCCTGTTCTGATATGCATGTCTGCATTATGTCTTTGAGGGGGTGCACCAAAATAATCAACTGGTGCTTCTTGGAAATGCCTCTCTGTAACATTTTGCATGCATCGGGGACTGCTCTGTGCAGATGTGCACTCGTTCTGCTGGTTTTGCCCTGCGCAGCCTGTGTCAACTGTAGCATTACTGTATTGTTCTGCTCACCATCATCAATCACTTCAAGCAGTGAGTTTAGACCTGAGTGTAAATGATGTATTTGAACTGCTTGTCCTTGCAACACCGTGCTTCAGTGCTATGTTGTGTGAGTAGAAGTACGCTGGGGTGGAGATCACTTCTCTACACCATGGGCATGGAATATACGATGTTTATATCCCCTTCAGTTCTGTGGTGGGGCAGTTCCTGTAAACTTTGTCTTGTCAAGTTTCTTGATTCCAGGTTAAGAACAGTACTTAGTGGTTATCTTTTGTATTAATGGTAAGTTCCCAGCTGTTTTTTATTGCTGTACCTGCAAGCCAGCATTCAGATTCATTTGAGGTTGACAGCTACAATTGTTAGTGACTGATATAAGGGGAGAAAGGGTGAAAGTAGCTTTATGCAGGAAGTGGGAAAAGCATGTGTAGTCACTTTTTGTGAACCAGTGTGCACAAATGAGACTTGTGTGCTTTTTAAGCTTCCCTGGTTTTGCAAAGTCTCTGCTCTTTTTTAGTCAGCATTGTCTTTAACCTGAGCCAGGTTGTTTTTGTTGGGCATCTTCCATTAGGAAAAGGTAGAAGTTTGATTAAACTGCTGAAGGGCAGCATGTGGAGCAGCTGGTGTTACATTCAACAGGAATCGTATTTGTGGTTCTTAGGCTACTGAAATAGTTTACATGAAAATGTGGCCTCCTGAGACTCAGCTATAATCTGTCCTGTCATATAAAATGAGGATTGCAGTGGTTAGAGAGCAGCTGTAATGATGCTGCTTCAGTTATTCTGGAGCAAGGGTTCATTGTCTGTGCTGTCTGAGGGAAGGTTTGAAGATCTCTAGCTTGTTGCTTGGGCAGAGGGAAATCAGTGTAGGCAGAAGCCATCTAGGATGTCAGGCCTTTGTTTCAGCAGCATTTGGAATGCTGCAGGTTCAGGGTGATGGTGAACTGGTATAGCTGATACAAATTTTACAGCTAAGGATGGTGAGCCAAATAGTGCAAACAACTTGAGGCCAAGGTAGGCTGTGTTATTCTGCTTTTTTTAGCCTGGTTTCCAGAAGAGGTTTTACCTTTGCA